TACATGTATGTGTTCTGATCGCTCTACAGACAGGCTGGTCCTCTGTCTTTCTCCCTCTCCCCAGGCTTTTCTATTCCCTGGGACACAGCAATATTGAAACTATGTCAGTTAATAGCCCTACAATGACCACTCATTGTGAAAGGCAAGTTCTCAGATCTCTCACTTTAAATCAAAAGCTAAAGATGATTAAGCTTAGTGAGGAAGGCACGTCAACCGCGGAGGATGCCAGACACTAGACTTATGACTCCAGTCGGCCAAATTGTAAATGCAAAGGGAAAGTTCTTTGTCCTGGCCGTCAATAAATTTTCAGCTTGAGTGTTTTGATTTTTGTGTACAGTGAGGAGTTGGCCCCCATAAAGAAGCAGGGCAGCTATGTATAACAACCCTCTGTAGTTTTTTGAGGTTTTAGTAACCTATAAGTTTAGAGGCCAAAATAGTTCAGGAAGTATCTGGCATATTAGTTGTGCCTAGAGAAAATTATGCAGTTTGTACCAGACCCAGGCTGTGTCCCTCTCCTGGTCTGCTCAGCCCTGGACTAGACTGTTTGCTAGGTGGAGATCCCTGACCATCACTCCAGTACTTAAAGGAAAACTTAAAGGAAGTGGCAATGCTGCTCCAGTGAACATAATGAATCCTAAGAAAGTGAAAACAAAAAAGGTTAAGGTGGGTGAATAGAAAATCAAACCAGCTACTAAAGCAAATAGTCCTTTAAAGCAAAGCCTGATCCACAGCAAGACCCTACCTCTCTTCAGTTTTTTGAAGGCTGAGAGAGGCAAAGAAGCTGCAGAAGAAAAGTCTGAAGCTAGGCAGAAGGCAGAGGTTGGTTCGTGAAGTTTAAGGTAAGAAGACATCCCCGTGACATGAAAGTGCAGGTGAGGCTGCACGGACTGATGTAGAAGCTGCAGCAGGTTTTCAGAAGATCTAAAGATCTAGCTAACATCACTGATGAAGGTGGCAGCACAGAACAACAGATTTTTGATGAAGATACAACAGCCTTCTACTGGAAAAATAAGCCATCCAGAGCTTTCATAGCTAGACAGGAAAAGTCAGTGCCTGGCTTCACAGAGACAAAGGATGGTCTGGCTGTCTTGTTTGAGACTAATCAGCTGGTGATGTTAAGTTGAAGCCAGTGTTCATTTATCATTCCAGAAATCCTAGGCCCCTAAGAATTATGGGAAATCTTTTATTCCTGAGCTCTATACATGGAACAACAAAGGCTGGATGACAGCACATCTGTTTATAGCAATTAGTTTGCTTAATATTTTAAGCCCATAGTTGAGACCTACTACTTGGGGGGGGGAGGAGATTCGTTTCAAAATATTAATACTTACTGACAGTGCACTTAGATACCCATGAGCTCTGAGAGCTGTACAAGGAAATTAATGCTATTTTCATGCCAGCAACACAATATCCACTCTACAGCCCATGAATCCAAGAGTAGTTTTGACTTTTGAGTCTTACTGTTTAAGAAATATGATTCTAAAGCTACTGCTGTCATAGGTAGTGATTCTTGTGATGGACCTGGGCAAAATGGGAACCTTCTGGAGAAGATTCACCATTCTAAATACTGTTAAGAACATCTGTGATTCATGGGAGGAGGTCAGAGTATCCAGGTTAACAGGAGTTTGGAAGAAGTTGATTCCAACCCTCACAGATGACTTAGAGGGGTTCAAGACTTTAAAGGAGGGAGTAACTGTAGATATGATAGAAATAGCAAGAGAACTAGAAGTAGGAGTGGAGCCTAAAGATGTGACTGAATTGAATAATGTTGTGATAAAATTTGAATGGATAGCTAGGTACAGTGGCTCATGTTGGTAACCTTAGCACTGTGGGAGGCTGAAGTGAGTGGATTGCTTGAGCTCACGAGTTCGAGACCAGCCTGAGCAAGAGCGAACCTCTATCTCTAAAAATAGCCAGGTTGGCTCAGCACCCATAGCACAGTAGTTATGGTGCCAGCCAATATACCAAGGCTGGTAGGGTGGGTTTAAACCCAGCCCAGGCCAGCTAAACAACAGTGATGACAGCTACAACAAAAAATAGCCAGGAATTATGGCAGACACCTGTAGTCCCAGCTACTTGGGAGGCTGAGGCAAGAGAATTGCTTAGGCCTAGGAGTTTGAGGTTGCTGTGAGCTCTGGCACCATGGCACTCTACCAAGGGCAATATAGTGAGACTCTGTCTCAAAAAAGTAATAATAATAAAATAAAATAAATAATAAAAATAGCCAGGCAATGTGGCAGGAGGCTGAGACAAGAGGATCACTTGAGCTCAAGAGTGTGTGGTTACTGTGAGCTATGATACCATGGCACTCTACCGGGAGCAAGAAAGTGAGACTGACTCAAAAAAAAACGCTGAATGGATGGGGAGTTGCTTCTGTGGCTGAGCAAAAGAAGTGGTTTCTTGAGATGGAAGCAGCTCCTGGTGGAGATTCTGTGAACATTGTTGAATGACAAAGGATTTAGAATATTCCAGAAAGTTAGTTGGTAAAGTAGTGGCAGGGATTGACTAAATCAAAAAGCTTCACGTGCTACAGAGAAATCTTTTATGAAAGGTGGAATCAATGTAGCAGTCTTAATTGTCTTATTTTAAGAAATTGCCACAGCCTCCCCACCTTCAGCAGCCACCACCCTAATCATGCAGGCCATCGACCTCAAGGGAAGACCCTCCACCAGCAAAACAGTCTGACTCGCTGAAGAGTCAGATAACCGTTAGCAAGTTTTAGTAGTAAAGTCTTTTTAAATTAAGGCATATACTTGTTATTTTAGGCAGAATACTACCACGCACTCAGTAGACTTACTGTAAAGTGTAACCATAACTTTTATGTGTACTGGGAAGCCCAAATGTCGGTGCTGCTCCCAGTGTTTGCTTTATGCAGTGGTGTGGCACCAAACCCACAGTGTCTCTAATGAATCTTCACATGTCTATTTTAAGACTAAAGTAGGCTTCCTGGAAGGAGTTCCCTTGCCCACAACAACACCATCTTTACAATGCCGTTACACTTTTGAGTGGTGTTACTGTTCTAATGTTAAAAGGCCAACTTAACACATGGATGTATTTTTGCAACTGCTGGCATACAGGGGACTTTGCGTGTTGATGGTGTTCTGAAAGGATGCCTCTGTCCTGGAGCCAGGTGAGAGTTACAGGGCAGCTTGCAGGCACTGGAAATCGTACAGGCAGTGGCAAGAAAAGCAGCGTCAGGAGGATGCGGAATTGTCACAAAGGATTCTGAGAGAGCATTTGGGGAACAGGTGGAAGGTCTCAGAGTGAGCGGTGGCGGGGAGAGGTGCATCAGTCCAGCTGGCTGGGTGAAAAGCAAGGCCCATGAGGAGGGGTCAGCCTGGAGAGGGTTGAGCTAGACAGGGATTTGAGACTAGGTGGGAAGTTGGGGGTAGCCAGAGGGAACACTGTTTTTGAAAAGACGGTTCAGTGAAGTGGCATCAGATGACATAGTTTGCACATTTGCCCCTTTGATGCCTTTGCCTCTTTGGCTACAGCTATGTGTGTTCTTCCCACCTCTGCAGCCGAAAGCCTTGTGTTTTAGCTCATCAGCCCCTGCAATTCCTTGAAAGCCGTTCTCTAAGTCAGCATTTCCCAGTGGCCACCCACCCAGGACACTTAACCAGTGGGTGCTGACTGGCACCGAACTTTAAATAAAATTGTATTCCTTCTGATAATTTTGAACTTTCAGAGTATTGCCCGTGATTCCTGAACTGCCAAATTTACATATAACTCTTTCTCTCCCCAAAGTCAGAAACAATTTTTTTTTTTTTTTTTTTTGGCTGGGGTCTGGGTTTGAACCCGCCACCTCTGGTATATGGGGCCAGCGCCCTACCCCTTTGAGCCACAGGCGCCACCCCAGAAATAAAATGTTTCATCTATTTCTTAGCAGGTTTCAAAATACTACCAGACTTACAGGCATTGACTTGCAAGGTCCTGTAATGCCCATCTCTAAATCTGCGTCCCTGCCCACTGGCCCCTTCCTGCCACCCACTGTTTTAACTCCAGGACTTTTTCTAGCAGCTCTCTGCAGCAGAACTACTACCTTAGCTTTGGCTATGACCTGGCTCCGGGTCACACTAAGGGTGAAGGCTTATTCCCTCCCACGTGAGTCAGAGAGCTCATCTGAACTGGGCACTTTCCAGGTGTCATTTGGGGTAAAGATAGCATGTTTGCCCAAAGAGAAAGCTATTGGCAGCTTTTCTGTCTGGAAGAAGGAATTATCAGCTATTTGTGGCTTATCATTTATTCTGTGGCTTATCATTTGAATAGCACTTAATGTTCTTTCCCCTACCCTCTTTCTCTTCATCCTTTATCCAAAAAGTAGTGAATATGGAAATGTTGCCTGTGAACTTGCCTGGGGTTGCCTAGATTCGGGAAGGCTTTGTGAGCCTTAATTATCAGTACAGACCAGGAGGAATAGGTTCCTGCGTTGTTCCTCATCAGCTCTCCAAGCTAATATGTTTTCTTTTGCTTACATTTAACAGTTGATCGGGAGGGATGATGTATTGAGTGTCTTAATTATAGAAGAGTTGATGTAAAATTTCTTTTTTAGAAGAGTCTCCCTAGGTAGAGTTGCTTGGCAGGATGGCCAGATCTGACTTTTCCAGTGCTGAGAGGGAGGACAGGGAACAGAGGACTGAATGCCTGTTGTCCTGTGTGCGGTGGGCAGGTGCTAAGAGGAGGTGTGACAGCTGCCTTTGGGAACAAAGTACCAAGGCTGCGGGGAGACAGCCAACCTGCCAAGGTTACCTGGTGGTCTAGAGGGTTATGGAATAAGAATTCTAGTTCAAGGCTTTCTGTTTTTAGACCCCGGTTTATTTCACCATTCATATCATCTCCATAAAAACTGAAAGGTGCTTCACATCAAATAGGTCTTTAGAGGTTTTCAGTGTTCCACTGTACATCTTCAAGAAATTATTCTTCAGGTTTCTTATTTTAAAGCACATAAGTATTTATGAAGTCATGCAAAAATCTAAGCGTTCTGTTTTCTTTTGTTCTAGATTTTCTACCCCAGCAGGGATGGTACAAAGATCCCAATGTTCATTGTACATAAAAAAGGCATAAAGTTGGACGGTTCTCATCCTGCTTTCTTATATGGCTACGGTGGCTTCAACATATCCATCACACCCAACTACAGGTGAGCGTGGAACTCTCTTGGAACACTGGAGTGTATTTCATCTTCCCACATAGTGGCAAGAAACCAGAGACTGGCCTGCTGAACCGTGTTTTTCTGATACACTGAACTACCCGTGTGAATTTGGTTGTTGTCTCTGTAGAGGGGCAGGATAATATGCAAACTACCTGGATTTTTTATCAGAATTATAGGATCGTCAGAAACTAATGTCTTCAGTGGAATAGGTTGGTTGAGAACTAGATGTTGAGGCCTTGGCCGCCTGGCTACAAAGATCAGTGTCACTCCAGGTCTTGAAGGGAGGAGGCTCCTGTCTTTGTCACTTTTGGCCACCCCCACTGCCCGCAGGGGCATGACTTTTTAGCGGATGACCTTTTTTTTTTTTTACCAGCACAGAGCCTTAAAATTGACTGGCTTAACATTCAGCCATAAATGTTCTACATTCATTGTTTCTGTGATTACTTAGCAGATAACTTATGCTTAGGGGGGAAAAAAATCTACGTTTTCATACATATTGCTATTGTTCAGATGAAATTTGCTTTGAACATTTATAATGAGAACAAGGAATTTCCCTGCTTTTTAGGTGCAGGTTTATCTTACTGTTTTACCAGCAAAACTAGCTTTAAGCCGACTTATAAATAGAGCCCCACATGAAATCTGATTCCCAGATTCATTCAGGATCATTCCTGTGTGGGAAGAGGTTGGACTGGTGACTACCAGGACATAAGGTCAGAGTAGGCTCAACCAGCTGTCCCAAAGTTGAACACAAGAAGACTGCCCCTTTGTTTTGACCACTCAGTATCTATTTAAGATCATTAATTTAGATCTAACGAACCGTGAAACGTGGTCCCTGCCCTCAAATGGGCTACCTTGACCATCTGGCTAAAGGTAGATGGTTTTATCCACTTGTTAATGAGGAGCTGATGAAGGCTTTTGTGTAAAATCACGACATAGAATAGTATTTTCACATTTGTGTGGCATCATCGTATGAGTAAGCTGAAGGGAAGCTAGTTCGAAGAGGGCTGTTAGTGGGGGCTGTTCATTCCTCCTCCACTGGAAGCACCATAACCCACGCGTAACCCACAGATGGCTTCCCGTCTCTTTCCACAGTTGCCAGGTAATGAGATTTCTCATCTCATTAGTGCAGCTGTATCTGTGTTGTAAAACCATGTGCCACATTTATTCCTTGAGATTATTACAGTAGAACCTCCATGGTGGACCACTTCCTGAAGTTGACCTAATTTTCACAGACCAGACATGTACCAAATGTAGGCGTCAGTGCAGCACACCTGGCTCCTTATGTTGACCACCCCCCTATGTTGACCAGTTTGTTACAGTCCCTTAGGTGATCCGGTTACAGAGGTTCTGCTATAGTCTAAAAATTAAAGCTTTAGTGAGAGTAAACCTTGGACCCTGAGAAAAATAGAAATATAAATAATAAATAAAATGCAAGCTACTAATACGTGAGTTTTAACCTAATCCTTCCAATAAAATGTGTCACTTGCTACTCCTTATCACTGAAGGTGGTAAAATTACAGGCTTGGGTTTCAGGTTACACTGACACTTGAGTGTCAGCACTTTTCGGGTTACAGTGGCAAGAGGAGAGGATAAACAAAATCCGGATCTCCCAAAGAACTTAGCCCTTTGTCCTAGAAACGTTGTGCTATAGTTACTTCTGTTTATTTCTAGAAAATATTCTCCAGCCCTGAGAACTCCATTCTTGATCTTTTACTTTCCTGTGTTATCTGGTTTAACATCTAAATTTCTTTAGAAACTGGAAAACGTGTTTAAAATTCATGTACCAGAAAGAGTTTTCTACCCAACTTGAACATTCAGTTTGGAGAGAACTACTGGAAAAAGTTCTCAGTGGGGCCATGATCAAGTGCCCCTGTATCCCAAGCACCGTTCATACTGGGTTGCCAGTGTTCTGTTTGCCGAGATAGTTGAAAAGATAGATTCAACCTGCCAGGAGGCCCTCGGTTTTTCCTCTGTTCATATTATGAGTAGTGTAGTAAAATACTTAAGTATAGAAAAATGAGGTCAAGTGTGTTGGGTCCCACCTCCAATCCTAACCCTTTGAGAGGTCGAGGCAGGAGGATTGCTTAAGCCTAGGAGTTCCAGGCCAGCCTGAGCAATAGCAAGACACTGTCTCTACAAAAAAATAAATCAACTGGGCATGCCTGTAGTCTTAGCTATTCAGGGGGATGAGGCAGGAGGATCACTTGAGCACAGAAGTGGGGGCTGCAGGGAGCTGTGATGATGCCACTGCACTCTAGCCTGGGCAACAGAGCAAGATCATGTCTCCAAAAAATAAATAAATAAAAAAGAATGTTCATAGAAATGTATAAGCTTTTTTTACTTTAATCAAGTAATATAGATAATATCGGGCTCCTATTGAGATAAGGCTGCTCCTAGCCTGCTCTCAGGGAATACTTTTTAAGATGGAAGGAGATGGTCTTTACTAGGCAGTTAGTGGAAAGTTAACTATTTCTACTGTTTCTCAGTGTTTCTAGGCTTATTTTTGTGAGACACATGGGCGGTGTCCTGGCAGTGGCCAACATCCGAGGAGGTGGTGAATATGGGGAGACGTGGCATAAAGGTGAGGCATTTCCTCTACAGAAACACACGTCTGGAAGTAGGCCGTGCGGATCCTTCCTGGCGAAATGAGTAGGAGTTGAGAGCAGCGAGCATTTGGGCGGACAAATGAACAATAAAGAAATGCCACTCCCCCTTTAAAAACTACTCTTTTCCACATTTTATTTTCCTTCATCATCAGTTTATTATAACAAAGTGCGTATTTTTTAGAAGCATTCCTCATAGAGCATAATCAGAATTATTTTGCTTTTTTAAACAATGCCTGGGGTGCATTTTTAATTATCACTGTCAGACCGTGTCATGGGGAGCTTTGTGGTATTTGTCTCCTGTTAGCCTTGTTTGTACAGTTGAGCATCACTTAGCTAACTTCAAAAAGACTTTAAAGTAGGTCATTTTCCTTATTAGAAGGGAGCAATCTTAGAGCTTTCTGTTCCAGGGTGGGCCTCCTCCTGCTGGTTTTCTGTGGTCTTCCCAACATTGCTGAGAGAGCCGGACTCTGCCACAGGAGCACAGTCATTTTTCTTTTATGATTGTCTCAGTCTCCATTCTCTGGCCTTCAGAATTATGTATTCTAGTTGATTGACTAGTACTCAACTTCGTACCCCAGATGGTTACAATATTTTTTAAATGATCATCTTTATTTTTAAGCCCTGTCTCTCCCATTTCTTCCTCTGTGGGGTGCCCCTCGCCCAGTCTCCACTTGCCCTGGTCCTGTGTCCTTGGGGAGAAAGGTATGGGAGAGCACCTGCACCTCCGCCAGCTCCTTGCCTTCAGCACCCCCAGTGCACCAGTGGGGGCGCTGTTCAGTGGGGTCTTCCCAGCAGGAACTTTCGAGATCACCATTCAGATCCATTCCTCCACTTAGATGAGGCCTAAGACTGATTTTCTATATCAAATCCCATCAGCAGAGATGAGGTCAGACCTGTAAAGAGATTTCCAAAGTGCCTGTTAGGGATGAAGATGCAGATAAGGCCAAGGCAGCCTGACCCCAGGGCATCAGGCATGCACCCCACGGTCTGACCCCAGACTGTTCAAAATGCACCTAGCAAGAGAGTGTTCCCAGTCAGAGCAGCTTTTGCCAGGTGTCATCCCTGGAGACTGTTGATTGTCACATTGTTTTTGAAATTACATAGAATTCATTGTATAATTTTGACCTGATAATAGTTCAATTACACTCAAATCATACTGTGAAAATGTGGTATTAAAAGATGACTCATAAAAGAGTAAAATTCCCACATATCATATGTTTGATTTACATCCCAAATTTGCACATCAAGTCACAACCCCTTCACTCACCTGATCTCCTATTCAGCTGGCATGTGGCCTACACACTCACACACAGGCACACGCCCTGACCGCTCTTAAAAGAACTGGATTCTTTGCCATAAAACCCTCTGGTCATTGGGTACCTGCCATTTTCTGATAGAGAAGAGTGACCGTCCACTGTCTTTATCTCATCTTTTTATTAATTGTAGAACCAACTTACCATCCAAATCCTTGAAAAAAGGGATATTGGAGTGTAACTAAGGCTAGCAGGTGACTCTGTTTAGACTGATTCATAACCTTTCTCAAAACTTAAGCCATGAGAGGACCAGAAATGGACCTTTTCCAGTGATAGCCTAGAACATGGAACATTGAAAAATCTGAATTCCATTCTGTTAATTGAGTTTAAAATGTAATGCTCTTTTAAAAATATAGTCATATACCCAAAATAATATCATTCCTGGAAACTAAGTAATCCTAGCTGTTCTAATCCACAGATAATTTCTTATTAACGTCTTAATAACATTTGTTTTGATATGAAAAAATTTCTTCAGTAGCACTGCTTTATCTTTAATTGAATTTCTGCAGAAGTGGTTAATCTTGAATATCTAATTAGATCTGTGTCTGCTCTTTGTTCATTTCAGAGAGAGTTATTTAAAACATCTGTTCCTTTGAGGACTTGCTTTTGGACTTTACTTTGAGACATTCCAAGGCCCAGTAAATGTCTCTCTTTAAGTCATTTCTTTGGGTTAGCATATTGCAGTGACTTACAGGTAGTAAAGCCTGGATCCTCAGGGAACAGAGACCTCTCACTCAAGAACTGAGAAACCTGGCGTGGTGCTCTGCCACCCCACACCCAGTTCTACTGATAGTCTAAATTAACAATCCAGGAAAAACCAGGGAATTTATTTCTCTCCATCACTTGCCCATTTCAGACTTCTGCAAAGAGGCAGGGTGGGAAATGCACGTCTACAAAGCCCTTCCATCTCCCCAAGGAGAAGCCTGGGCAGCCACAGGGTGAGCTCTGGTTCGTGTGTGGGTTGGGACTCAGGATAGCACGCTGCTGGAGGTTTTGCTTCATTTTTAAGTCCAGCTTCCCAAAATACAGGTTCCTTGTGAGGACAAGCTTTCATCCTTGCCTCCTCCTGCTTGCTCACATTAACAGATCATCTGTTACCTTTGGGGCATTTCCCATTTACGTTTCAGGAGCTTTTAGAAAAATATAATCCACCATAGGGATTAGCAATTATGGTATTGATGATAGATTTCCAAAGTGTGTCACAGAATTTAAATTGAGGCATTTCTTTCAATGTAGTGTTAGCCCATTGTTTTTAAGTGGTTAAGTTAATCAGTAGTTGAAGGTCTGCCTTTAACATCAGTTGAATTCCCTTTAGGTTAAACCTGTTTCTGTTTTGTTTTGTTAAATTAACTCTCTTTTCCTGGCATTGTAGGTGGTATCTTGGCCAACAAGCAAAACTGCTTTGATGATTTTCAGTGTGCTGCCGAGTATCTCATCAAGGAAGGTTACACATCTCCCAGGAGGCTGACTATAAACGGAGGTTCAAACGGAGGCCTCTTAGTGGGTGAGAACCGGATTTTGTACTTAACCCAGGCGTCCTCAGCGCAACCCCCCGCAGTCCGGCCCTCCAGTGGTCTGAGGGACAGTGAACTGGCCCCCTGTTTAAAAAGTTTGAGGACCCCTGACTTAAACTCTTAGGTTTTTGGATACTCTGTCTGAGGCCAGCTCTCAGTTTACTTTGTGGATGGGAGCGCGGTAGAAAGAGAACAAAACTCATTTGGATTCGGGCATCTGATGAGCTACAAGATGAGACAGCTGACCCCTCACCCTGCTACCTCAACTCGGGGTAGCATGAAAAGGTCTCTGGAGTAACCCCCAGCCCTATGCCAGGGTTTTTTTAATTTATTTTGTTTCATGTCAGATTACTGTAGGGGTCCAAACAGACCAGTTGTGTTTCTAAGGTTAGAGTCTGTAGGTGTATCTTCCGCCCAGGTAGTGTGCCACATACCCATGCTGTATACCTGTTGGGTGGGGATTTACCCAAACCCTTCCCCTCTCCTCCTGCTTGAATTTAATGGAGTTTGTCTCTTAAGTGAGCATGTAGTCATGCCAGCTTGACATTGGACGTCACTTCCTCCCTAAGTGCTGTATGTGGGTTACGCACCCAACACCCCACTCCCGTAGTGCCTGACCTTTCTCAGCAGCCATGGCCGCCCACCACACTGTGCTGTAATTGCTTGGTCACTGCTTTATCTTTCCCCCTGCATTTAGCTTTATTCACGCCTAATGCCAGGCACGTGGCAAATATTCAATAGATATTCACTGAATAATCCAAAAAAAAAACATTGAAAAACAGGACAAAAAGATGTGCTAGTATTGGCTGGAGCCCTGAGCTGTCGTTTCAGGCCCTGTTCTGCGTTGGGCGGGTTCTGAGATCCTGAACAACCTGCCTCAGCATTGTAAAAGCAAGTGGAGCTCGGAAGAGGGGACACAGGTTTCCCAGAAAGTCCTTGAGCTTATCAAGTCACACTCCCCCATTGAGATTCACTTTGGGGAGTAAAGTGGTGTTACTGATGCGATCCACCCCTTGGACATACTGGAAGGGGTGGGGAGCTTTGGGCCGTTGTGCTCTCAGGATAAAGGCAAGCAGGTTCCGGAAGCACTTCAGTGTTGCTTTGTGTATGTTTAATGACGGACTGCCTCCCTTTTCTTTCTACTTTGGTTTTTAGCTGCTTGTGCAAATCAGCGTCCTGACCTCTTTGGTTGTGTCATTGCCCAAGTTGGAGTAATGGACATGTTAAAGTTCCACAAATACACCATCGGTCATGCCTGGACCACCGATTATGGGTGCTCGGACAACAAAGAACACTTTGAATGGCTTATCAAGTAAGGATTTCATTTATACTGACATGCACATGTTAATGAGTTGATACCATAATACTGACTGAATACAGTCATTCAAAGGATTGATGCTTTGTCTCCTTTGGTGTCTTGTCTATAATGTACTGCAAAACTAGTCTTTTTTCCCAGAATTTCCTAATAAGGGCCCAGATAGCCAACACCTTGATTTTGGCCTTGAGAGACCCAGAGCAGAGAACTCAGCCAACCCAGACCCCTGACATATAGGAAGCTATTAGATAAGAAATCTGTGTTGTTTTAATTTACTAAACTTGTGGTGGTTTGTTACCACAGCCATCAAAAACTAGTACAAAAGGCATTTTTATACCTTATCAATATATGCAATTGCCTTTTCTAAATCAAGAAGTAAGGAAATTTTTTAAAAATACATGCAAGTACAATTAAACTTAGTTTTTGCTCTCAGTATAATTGCATATGCTTGAAACCACAAGTTTCATTATTGAAATATCACAGTGGCCCTCATTTGCTTCCCTCAACCTCTTTGATGATGACAGTGAGTAAGTGGCAGGCATTGAGGATTATTTATCAGCAGCGTGTATTATTATTAATCAGCAGTGTGTCGGAAACACCCTTGGACCAGCATAAGAAGCCTATTTCCACTATTCCTGTCTTCCCAGTAAACTACAGATTTTGTTAAAAACAACTGATCTTTTCGAGTCAAGTTTTTTCTTTCATTTTATTTTCCTTCTATGGCTAGCTAGCTCTCTACTTTGAAATGCAATTAAAATGATTTTTTTTTTTGAGACAGAATCTCACTATTTCACCCTCCATACAGTGCCCTGGTGTCACAGCTCACAACAACCTTACACTCTCGGGCTTAGATGATTCTCTTGCCTCAGCCTCCCAGGTAACTGGGACTACCGGCTCCCACCACAATGCCAGGCTATTTTTTGTTGCAGTTGTCATTGTTATTTAGCAGACCCAGGACATCTTGAACCCTCCAGCCTCGGTGTATGTGGCCAGCGCCTTGCCCACTGAGCTATGGGCACCGCCTAAAATGGATTTTTTTAATTGAATAGTTTCAAACTACTAAATTCTGTTCTCTAAGGGAGGAAAAATTCACTCTGAAAGCTGTTACTAAAATGCTCAGATAGCCTCATTGGCACAGGCTGGTAAAAGCTACATATTTGAAGAAGCTGTAGTTCAAATTTACTTAACTCATATGCCTAGGGAAACAAGTCCTATTTAAACTCCTTTAAAAATACTGAGTTAGTTGTATATCGAGGACAACAAAATATTAGACAAAAACTTCATTTCCATGGTCAATCTGAAAGCAGAAAAAAAAGGTTCTAAATATTTTTTTCCCTGATATTCCTCCATCAGTTTTCTAATCTTGCTTTCACGGGGCTATGTTCTTTTTACCTGCTGCTACTACAATGAGCATGGAGCTCGGGCCACATGTTACCCAGAAAGGGCCTTCCAGGGAGCTCCCCGGCCTGGCCCCTGCCCTAAGTATGCCCCATGGAGCACCATTCGGCAGGGTAGGGGGTGGGGGTCCAACCTGTAGCCTGCAGGTGACATGTGGATTAAGTGAGGACTTTTTGTTTTATCTGTGTTGGCAGCTATCATGAAAAGTATGCACGGACCTTTGTTTCTTTCTGCTTATGAGCTTATCCGTTAATGTTTCTGTTTTTATCCGGTGGCTCAAGACACCTCTTCTGCCAATGTGGTGCAGAGAAGCCAGAAGGTTGGACACTTTTGAAAGGTGCTCATCCAACAGCGAGATCTCCACGTTTAGGAATGGCTGGGATAAATAAAGCCTGGCAGATTTTTTTTTTTTTAACAGAACTCAGAATCTTCAATGTATAAATGTTGCATGCAAATTTCCGGGTGGTGGGGAGAGTATTATTAGTGGACAGAGTCTTCCAAACTTGTTTCCCCATAGAACGAACCCCTACTTGGAGGACTGGGGTTGCACGAAAACCACTCTGAAATGAGATCAGAACCCAGGTCCATTTTTATTCTCCATCTTTAGCTATTGGAAAACCAAGCTCCAGAATATTTTAATCTTGACTTAGTTAACAGAACAGAATTTTTACCATTTTCACTATTTACCTTTCAAAATGAAACTCTACTAAAACACTTGACGATTGTATTCACTAAGATTAAACACTTTGAAAAACGTGGTATTTCTCAAATTTGGCTATGATAAGTCACTGTTTCGTTCAACATTTATTCTTAAAACCATTTTTGTTAACTTACCCCAGAAACATTCCCTGTCCTTTAGGAAGTGCCTCCTCCGCTAACTCGCTCTGCCCTGGCCAAAGGCAGTTTCTTGGTGCGGGACTGCCAGCTGTGGGAAGGAGCAGCAGCTCCTCCCATGTTCCTCAGTTTACAGACAAGAAATTAGGCCCAGAGTGGACATGTGCTCTTCCTAAAATTGTAAAACTGAGCCTGAAATAAAGGCTTTATAAATGTGAAAGGGGCAGAAAGCTGCTATAAACTGCAGATTTCAGCTTCTTCAACAAAAGGCTGGCACTTAATTACGTCTATGCTGAGTGGTTTTAAAAAACACTCAGTAGTCCATTATGTAGCAATGAAAAAGTCTAGAGTCCCTGAAAGTATCCAACTCAAGACAGTAAGTGTGCATGGAGTTTGGGTGGTTTCAGCAGTCCTGTGAGTTTCTTTTTTTTTTTTTTATTGAATGGTAACTGTGTACATTGATGCACTTTGGGGGTACAGTGTGGTGTTTTCACACACGATCCGAGACACTTCCATCAAACTGGTTAACATAGCCTTCATGTAACTTTCTTAGTTATTGTGTTAAAACGTTCATATTCTACTCATAGAAAGATTCACTTGTACCCTTGTAAGATGAACCACAGA